GGAGCCCCAACTCCCTCACACAGCAGGTCCTGGAACTTCGGATCAAGCAGCCTTATCCTGCTTGCCTTCCTCTGCGCTATCGGTTAAGATCAACCCACTGAACTAATGCACCACAACAAGATGACTGGTAAGAATCGCAAGGCAAAACCTCCTCCTGTACGAGAACAGAAATAGAGTTAGCAACTTTATGCGCTTAGTAGAGTAAGATGAACTACTTATAGAAGACCACACACAGTCAACGATTCCGTCGGGGGATCTGCTAACCTTTAGTACGTGAAACCCTTGATCATTCGTCAGTGCGCTGACCGTAGGCGGCGGCCCATCTATTCGCTCTCTTGTATTCACTATATTCTTCATATTTGCACATTTTTTTAAACACGTCTGCGGTTTCTATATAAGTGTATGGCGTACACTTCTGTGGCGAGGAGTGACTTTCGTTTGGATACGTTGAATTTCGCCACCTTATCGGGTAATTTTTGTCTTTCTTCGCGTTGATTATTGCTAGATCATCACCGGCGGTCGATCGACTGATTTTGTAATCCACCTCGACAGGATTTCTCCCTCCCGTTCCTCTTCTGTTCCAGCAAGGAGATCTCGTATTGGCGATTCACCGCAAACACCACCAGGTGATGGACAAGTTACAACTTATCCGGTCAAGTCGCATATTCCGCCTTACATGCAGTTGATAATCGACCTCTTGATCGATACTCGCCGTGAATTAGCTAATGTCAGCCGGAAATGCGATTCATACGAGGACGAGAATAGAAGATTGAGGGAGGAAAATTTGGTTTTAAAGTCTAAAATTGATGAGTTAGTTTCCGCTAAGTCAGCTTATTCTCATACTGGTGTTCAAAACTCTCATAGTGAAGCTGTTGTTCATTCTGTCAGTTCAGCTACTGATGATGTAAGTGATCCTGATCTCAAGCGTTCCATTGTTATATCCGGTGTCCCTGAGAGTAGCTCTTCTAGATCACTGGAAGCTGTTAACCATGACTTATATTGCACGCACACTTTGCTTGACTTTCTCGATGTTGCTTGTCTTCCCGTGTCCGTGTACCGTATGGGTAGAAAAGACCCTCGTAGACCAAGACTCTTCGAAGTAGTTCTACCCAGTAGTGGATTCCAAAAAGAAGTCATAAGAGGCGCTCCTCGCTTACGTTTCTTCTACCATCAACACCCTTCTCTCACACTGGATGAGAGAAGACGCAGGCGAGAAGAGTGGCTTACTCGTCGAAATCACTCTCAGGATGAAGCTTCTACTGTGCATAATGTTGATCACTCAGGTAGCCCACAAATCCTCCCCAACCAGGCGGTAAACCTCTGAGTTGTCCTAGGTTCTCCCAGGGCACTTTGACGCCTGGCCCATGCACAAATTTTTCTGGTAATTGTTCTCGAGGGAAATTCAGGTTCAAGTGTATGTTGTCAAATGTCAGGTCTTTTGTTAAAAATAGTGACGCTGTCATTTCACTGTTAATACGTGAGAGCTATGATTTGGTTTTTCTTCGGAATCTTGGTTAACTCCTAACATTGAAGTGTGTAGTCTGCTAGGTGTTGCTAACTCCCAGTACACTCATCTCAGATGCGATCGTGCCAGAAGAAAAGGAGGGGGTGTCCTGATTCTCATTAGAAACGCTATACCTCACAATATTGTCTTCAGTGAATCAGTACCCGAAGCTTATGAGATTATTGTTATTGATGCATACCTTAACCTTACCACTATCAGATTCGTGTTAATCTACAGGACTCCATCTTGCAATGCCCTCAAGACCAATTTACTTCTTAAAGCGATAAGTGACTTCAGTTCTCACGATGGCGCAACTCTCGTACTAGGTGACTTTAACATGGCTGATGCTAGCGTGTATCAAAGTGATGCAGGTAACTGTTTCTAAGGAGTTTGTCCAGACGCTGTACTCTCATGAGTTTGCCCATCTAGTACATACCCCAACCCGAGGCAGCTCCATCCTTGACTTGGTCTTCTGCAATCGCCACTTCCTAGTCTCAGGAGTCAATGTTCTCCACTGGTACCAGTGACCATGCCACTGTTCAATTTATACTTAACGTTGGTAAACCTGACCCACAAGTTGCTATGGTTAGGGACTTCTCCCGAGTTGATTGGCGGGCTGTTGGAGATTACCTCGGAGGTGTCGACTGGATTGGTTCCTTTGGTAGCGTTTGCTCAGTTAATGATAAGTACGAGTTATTCCTGTCCATTTTGAATGATGTCATCAACACTTTTGTCCCACTTTGTAAGTGTCAAGCGGGGGTACAGATCCCTTCCCGGGTATTTAGATCGTATGATTACTCGTTGCGGTGATTCTGGGATTTAGCGGTCAAAGAAAACTGGACTTCTTACAACAAGTTTACTCGAAAGCTTGATAAGGCCCGTGCGAAGTACTATGATAAAGATAAACCTGAGCTATTTCTCGAGAGGTTTCAACTAGAGCTTTCAAACTATTGCGAACAATCCATGGGAAGACCTCACGCCACTTTGTCCTACCATGGAACCAACAGTTTGGTTTCATCGGGAGGAGATATATGAAGTTCTTTCTGCTTGGCCCACCTCTCCTTCTATTACCCCTGACTTCATCCCTTTTAAGTTCATCAAAATGGTACTGAAGCCATCTACTCTATCCCCTCGAGCACCTCTACAATTTGTTTATGGGCAGAGGTACAGATCGTTCGAACACCCTTTAGTCGCACCGGTTCCCAAAAGAGCCCCCTACAATCGCTCGAGAATTACCGCCTCAATTAGTATTACCTCCATTTTTGCTAGGGCTTTCGAGAAGATTTTGAAACGTCGGCTTATAGCTCATCTTGATGAGCACAATATCATTTCTGGCTCTCAACATGGTTTTCATAAGGGACGGTCAGTTGAGACTGCTCTTCTAACTTCCCTCAATGACTGGGCAAGTTCCTTAGACCAGAATAAGCCTACTCATGTAGTTTACTTCGACTTGCTAAGGCTTTTGACCGTGTTCCTATTCCACTTCTTATAAGTAAGTTGCGGTACGTTGGCCTACACCCCAGAGCTATAAACTGGATAAGTTGCTTTTTGCAAAACCGTACGTACCAAGTCCGCATTGGCGATACGTTATCTAATATTTTTTCGGCTAGCAGTGGTGTTCCTCAAGGTGGCGTCTTATCACCACTGTTGTTTTCTATATTTACTTGTGAGCTACCTAGTTTAGTTTCTGGCCACGGTGTTACTTGCTTGATGTATGCTGATGATGTCAAGATATACAAGGTAGTTGAGAGCTCAGAGGATAGTTATGCCCTCCAAGCTGCTATCAACTGTGTGAACTCTTGGTCCATTAGGTGGGGTCTGCCCCTATCCCACGATAAAACCAAAGTCTTCTGCGTTGGAAAAAGCAGTGATGCTGTAGATATAAGATATAAACTAGGCTCACTGGAACTCCAGACCACCAGTCAAGTGCGCGACCTGGGCTTCAAGCTTGATAATAAGCTTTCCTTTGATAGTCATTATTCGGACATTGTGTCTAGAGCAACACACAGGATCTTTAATCTGTTCAGGGCAGTCCGATCAAAGGACTCAAAGACACTTTCAGGGCTTACAAAACATATGTCAGGCCGCTACTGGAATCGGGCACAACTGTCTTCTCACCTTTCAAGAAAAAGGATATATGCTTACTCGAGGGTGTCCAAAATAGTTTTACACGAAAGCTTGCCATGCGCTGCTCTGGTTTGCACTACGAATTTATTCCCAAAGGGCAGGAACGTCGTCGTTTATACTCGCTTCCCAGTCTGCATGCCCGTAGAAAGGTAAACGATCTCGTTATGGCATTTAAAATCCTGACTGGTAGGCTGCCGTCAGTTCTGAATCTTTCTTTACGCGTACCCTTTCTAGAGCTAGGAGGCACGATGCTAAAATCAAGGTTCCGCTGGTGAAAACCCAAATCCGCTCCAAATTCTTTTCTGTAAGGGTAATAGCCTCTCTCAACAAACTTCTTACTCGTGACGTCATGCATTTCTCTCTGAATTCCTTCAAGTATGTTGCCAAAAATTGGTGAACCTTGAGGATTCGCGGGCTTCTCTCATTTGATTTTCTCTCGTGCTAGTTCACTACCTCATTATTTTTTATGTTCCCCCTCAATTTAGCCTTGCTTTGCTATAGTCACTGATTCTTTCTTCTGTTTTATTTGCACTGGTATGCCAATCGTTGTTGTGGTTTTTGTTTTCTCACGTGGGCTCATGCCTGCGTCAATAAATAGAATAGAATAGAGTAGGAAACACGGAGTCCACGGAGATGAATAATATTTCGTCGCCAACTGAGCGGATACTGAAGTAGCCATGGACATATTTCACTGATAGTTCTAAGGGCCCACGCCCTAGCAATAGCCGCCGCCGGTCGTGGGTCGACCAAGGGAGAATAGACGTCGTTGCTATTCTAGAAGAATAACAGACAATACGTAGCATCCAGGCTACTGGCAAGGTGTGCCGCTGGATTAGGTAGAGTGTTAGTTCAGGGCCGACTGACGAAGTGGAATAGCTGAGTCTGGAAGAAGGTTAGTAGTCGACCACACTGGAGTAGATGGAGAGGAGGATGTGAAGGGTTTAGTGATCAATGCCACAGACTAACAGCGGTTTCCCGCGCAATCATGCCCGAATGAGGGCAAAACGTGGGTCTACAGTAGGCGCTAGCACACCTGGGAGAAACCCTTGGGAGCGATGCTCACGATTCGCGACACGGGTTCTCCTGCCTAACCTTTCCAACTTTAGCGGAAAGAATGCGTGAAAATCTAGCATCGTCTATCATGGAATGACGTCTTCACTTTGATTCCTGAGTTTCGCCGTTCTTTCCGAAAGCATTACGACGCCGAGAAGTTGCCGCGCATCGCCGTACGCTATGCGCGCGACGAGGCGGTAAATAACGATTGTATTTTCAGTCCCCCGGCAATTTATAAAGCCCCATCCATGGTGAGAATTGAATCGCTTCTAATGAAAACGCTTTTCAGCCCGTGACCGGAAAACCATTCATCATTATGACGATACATGGCTCAGAACCAGAATTACCGTCAATCGTCCTTTATTCGCACATGGATGTCGTGCCCACCTCGAAGGTTCGTGAGTACTCATTACTGTCCTACTCAGAATTGCGGACAGCATCAGTACTTCAAACTTACGTGTTAGTTCTGTTTCTGTCAGCTGGTTGACGCAACGGTCATTCATTTCTTCATGGCTCAGGTGCCTAACGACAAGTCCACAAACGCGATCCTGCAGTCGTCAAAAAGGTCCTTTCCCATCACGATGCCTAGAAAGTTGTTCTAGGCAGACTTAGCTGTGAGGGCGACTGTAGTTGCGCATCATGCCCTAGAGATGCATAGGGCCGAGCTGCATGCTCCTTTTGATTGGTCATAGCAGCTGCGTTTCTAAAGGGGATATTGCCTCTTGGTACAGTTGTAGTCATGCTTTTGTTCAGAAAGAAAAGATGGAAGTTGTTTCAGAAGGAAATATCCCACGGAAAAAGCATCGCATAGATCCAACACACCTCATGAATCTTTGGAGCTATCCTTGCGTTTTTAGCTTCTTTCTTTATTCTTCGCGAAGCCCCTTTGTAGTAGGCCTATTACTATTAGGCATTGTTCACAGTCTGTGGCCCTGACAAAACAGCGGTTCGGCGAAAAGCAATAAATACATATTGATCGGAGAATCGCCAACCGCTCTGGAGAAACGCCGCCGCGGTTCGGCGAAAAGCAATAGATGCGTATCGATTTCGCTGGCTCCGCCCTAGAGAAAAACGCCAGGGCGGTCGGGCTAGCGTTTTTCGCCCAACCGCTCCGCCGAACCGCCCGTCGATACGTATCAAAACCGTTTCGCGCAGCCGCCAATTCATACATCTTGAAAGTTTTTCGCCGAAGCGTTTCTTACTAGAGAAAGGCTGGGTCGCAGATGCGAACAATGCCTTAGACCCTACCACGGCTTAATTCTGAGTTTGAGATGTGCTCTATTTGTTCACCTTCAGCATCAGAATAGACGCAATGGACTAAAATATTTCTTCTCATTTCAACAGCTCAGCGCTTCCAGGACAAATGGACATATCCGCCATACTCAGGGCATAAAGACAAGAACGGCTACATATATGGCAGAGGAGCACAGGATATGAAGTGTGTAGGATCCCAGTACATTGAAGCAATTCGAAGACATTTTTCTGCTGACAAAAGGCAATGGAGAAGAACTATACATCTAGTCTACGGCTCAGGTAGGTCAGACAGCGTGCTATATGCTGAATGAGTACGAACGGGCCTTTTTTGACAATTGATTACTGCAGCTTCATTGAAATTAATTCATCCGTCAATCATCCATTATTAACTCAGCAAATGAAGGAACAACCCTTAATTATTTCGTTACCATAAAAGAAAGTTTGGAGCTCGCAGCCACGATGAGGTACATCACGGGAACGATTGCTGCAGATGGTAGTCGCAGGACCCAGCTAATTTAACCCTGAATTGCTATAGCATGTCGAGTCAATTAGCTATGCAGAAAACTCTGCTAGTTTGCTGCGTGGCAATGGGAATTCGCTGCTAAATTTGCTGATGGGCGTGGCCACCGCCGGTGGGTGTGGCTAGCTCGCCTACTGCATTAGCCTAGTGATTTATTCGTAACCGTGTATACGATTTTCTAATGTTAACTTTTTCCCTGCAGCAAAGTAACTGAGCATACAGGGAGGTCCTTGGGTGAGTATGCTTGTTCCCTTGTCAGTGCGGAACATCTTGCTGAAGTGCAGCATGACGCGCCTCACGCCACGGTGTGGTAAAGTACTGTTGTTTCAATCTCTAGTGTAAGATACTTGCTCTGCGCGCAGCGGCTCAACTAGAACACAACCTCCCACGGCTGAACACTGCGGGAATATTTCAAATGCAGGCAGAAAAGTCACCAAAATTTGACCCAGTGATTGTGAAGTGGTCAGTAGAATATGGCGTACTGACAGCACACAAATGATGACTACTCTGTCTTTGGTACCTCTCGCATTCAAGAAGAACTTTACGCAAATATTTTTCAAGCATCTTACTACGGAGATGGTCTGGCGAAATGTACTAGAACACCTTGTTTACTTCTCGATTTGAATCGGCCCCTTGCCGGGTAAAGAGTAACTAGTGAAAAGATTGGTAGTTTTACCGCTATATCCAATCCATGTACAGCATATGTCTCGAGACAAAAAGGGGGGTCTCGCCGACAGCTGCTATTACCGTGCCGAGTTTTCCTCTTTTACGTAAATGCAATTCTGCTTCTCTTCCTTCTGGACTTTTACTTCCGCGGCTGGTCCGCATGTTGCCCTCGGATGAGGACATCTAATCGAGATGACAACCACTCACTCTGGAGCACGTGTGGCAGCAATTCAGTGAGGGGAAGAGAATAAGGTCAACAAAACAGACTCATCAGGACCTTAGAAATAACATTTCAGAGGAAGAAAATGGCTCGGTAGACGGCATGGCAGCGTTTGTAAAAACACGGGAATTCAAAGACCTTAATGTCGGCTTCTGGTTGGACGAAGGGCAAGCCAGCGAGACTGCAGTCTACAAGGTCTTCTACGCGGAAAAGAATCAATGGTGTAAGTTAGACCAGCAATTATACCCCTTATCCCCAAGACTGTACGGTAACTACAGCTAAACAAGATCAAGGAATTACCAAGGTTATAATACATCGCTGACACAGGAGCATACATTTCAGGCACAGAGTGCATTCGAAATCTCTGAGATGTGGTGGGCGTGGCTGCTTGCTCCAGCTAGACGTGACGGTTTCTGTGTTTCCAGACGTTTTCATTTTGACACAATTGTGGTCATGTCTCTGTCCAACACAGAACAAGATGACAGTTGTCTCAAATTGAAATATCCACGAGTAACCCATTCTATGCCATGCTCGAATGCCATGCCTACTCCACATTCTAATCATTCAAGCACTTTAATCAGACGACTATTTCATTCTTCGAGTTGTGTAAGCCATAATTCCACTTCGGCACAAGTGTATTCTGTGGTGCATCTTTTTTTCAGTTTTTCTTTCATAAGAAACCATTTGAGCAGGTCCAATTCTGCCATTCATAGGATCTACCAAGGTCTGATCAACCCATCGCGTACCACGGCGTTTTTTCGCTGGCTGCCGCGTGTGCCCGAGCCATATTTCGCAACCTCGCCGGCGTGCTGCACATGGTGCAGCACGCGGCCACGCAGAGCGGTATTTCTCGCGCCCGCAGCGAAGTATAAACTCAACGTACGCCATTTCGCTTCTCCAGGCTATTTTTTTGGGAAACTACGCCTAATTTATAGTAGCCGTTCCAGATAGGCAATGATGGACGCGCTGAATAGATCGTTTGATGAACTTCTGATTGAAAGTGACGACGAAGTGGTGGAAGAGGGCCCTGATACCCCAGAAGATATGGTTGTCCGCGTGAATCATTCAAGTGATGAGTCCGATTGGGAATCAAGCGAAGAAGGCTCAGATACAAACGGAGGGATTCAATGGACCCCAAATATCAGCAGGCAGAACAATTTCGACTTTCAAGGTTTCGGTGGTGCACTGGATGAAGATGTTCTATCTTACCAGTATCCAATCCAATTTTTCCGGCGATTTTTCACAGACGATCTTGTTGATTTGATTGTGAGAGAAACCAATCGTTATGCTGTCGCAAAGTACTCAAACTGGATTATTCTCGATGAGGGCGAACTACTGAAGTTTTTGGCGATTTATTTCCAAATGGGACTCGAAATCGGGACAAACCTCAAAGACTACTGGTCGTCAAGAAAGGTGTTCAGTGAGTTCAAGTGCGGCATTATAGAGTCCATTTTAGAAGGATACAACACCAGCGAGCGCTTCCTCGAGACCGAAGCTGTACGAAGTAGGTGGACCGAAGAGGAACTTAAGGAGGAGATGCGTCTCATGCTACAGGAACCTTTCCCGGACGAATGGTGCTCTGTACGCTAGAAACCACACAATACTAGTGAATACAAGATGCACAACCTGCGATCAATATTTCTGCATTGAGTGTTTCCACACATATCATCAACGGTGTCCTGTTTAATCCTTTATGAGTTTATGGACGTTGAAAATAAATGAAGAAGATCACAGTTGAAGTTTTTTATGAAAGAGGTCAATAACCCAAGTACTACTTCAGCGATCGAGGTCCCACGTACTTATGTTGTTCTCCGTGTTCGAAAACATATGCTCGCAACTTTGTAGCAGAAAAGGATGCAAAATAATCCAGATGGAGCGGAAAAATCATCGTGCTGCACCATGTGCAGCACGCGGCCATACAGCGACGAATGAGCGTGCTGCACATGGTGCAGCACGCTGCACGCGGTACGCAATGGGTTAAAGGCAGAACACGCGATTATGTATCATATATAGTTGCCGTTCATTAGCAAATATTTTGGTCCGAGAATTCGTTTCGGCTCCAGCAATAGGGTTCCTCCTTACCGTGTCCACTGCATCTCTCCCACTTGTGGCCGCTTATCAATCCTTTTTGGATGCACCAAGCATTTTATTTCGTTCAAATTTGGCAATATACTGTAGCGGATGCATGACGTTATCATCTTTCACTGATTTTTGTTGTTTTCGACAAGTTTTCCAACGAACAAACTCATCCTCGAAAAATCAGTAGTTCGATCAGCTTAAGGATGTTGGAACTTCCTCCCCCCCCCCCAAGAAAACGAACATCCGCAACCTCCTTTACTTAGTGAAGTTTTTATTGCGTTGCTCTCTATTGTGCTGATGCCAGTAGGCCCATTTCTACGGTGACACTTTGAATATCCTGGGAAAGCATTTATCCAGCTTTGTGTAGTGCTGTCAGAATTGGTTAAGGTGCGATCAATCCAAAAAAAACCTCTTTTTCCAGTTCAACCATTTTTTCAGGGACTAAGGTGACATGTGAAGGATCACCAGGCCACGGATCAAAATTCATTGAAAATACGGCCGGTGAGAAATTGGTGAGATGTGGTGTACCAGCTACTAGCGTTTGCCAACTTCTCATTAAGGCAGCGTTCAGACTTGTAGCGCTACAACTGTCGCGCTACAGCCGTCGCGCTACAGCTGTATCCAGCTTCCTTTTATATTTTTTTCTTTCTGAATTCAACCCTCTTTTGCCATATTTATCTGATGCTGAGCTCTTTTCTACTTTACCGCATTTTTTACCACATTTTAATATAGTTTTTGATACAGAGCACTGTGATAATTGGTTTATTTATCGTTTTAGACTTTAATTATTTTCTCTTCTGTTTTTATTATTATTATTATTATTATTATTATTATTCCATTTTTGTTTCAGAGTTGCTTCTGATGTTTGATGGCTTTGCTTGAGGTTTTGCAGTGGTGCCTCACGTTGACCCTGATGACGAAATTGTTTTTGGCATCCACGGACAGGTTGCAAGCCAACACACAGGCGTGACCGGCCTGACGTCGTTTAATTGTGAACATTATTTGATATTATTATCATAGTGCTCTGTATCAAAAACTATTAATGTGATAAAAAAAATGTGGTAAAGTAAAAAAAACAGCAGCTCAGCATCAGTTAAATATGGGTAAAGCCGCCTAGAAGAAAAGAAAGCAATCAGAAGGGTCGCCTCTCACACGAATTCCACTACTATTACCAGAGACATCGATAACTTAGTCTCTTGTTTAACTTTAATTTTAACGTTATGACAACAGTGAACTCGTCCGAACGAGCTCTGGGTCAACCGAATGTTTCTTAACAGCTCTGCAGAAAGGGACCCATTCTGCTAGTTTTTGATCTTTTTCTTTCATCCTCCCATCTCAGCACCTCCAGCAATGTGAAACGGTGCAGCGAAGTCACCGTACTCTGAGCCTTCAATAGCAAACTGTACACTCACTACGCAGACAATGCTCCTTACTCATCCGTAGACCCTGCTGCCATGTATGAGGTGAATGGGTGTGCAGCCGCAGTAGCGTACCATATCCTTTGGTCAAAAGCGCACGAGGGGGAGGGTAGTGTTAACCGGACGCCGTGCACTGCAGCACGACTAGCCCGACGTTAAATCATAGCCAAACGCGCTACTTGCTTGTGCCCTGGTTTCGATTCTGGTTATTCTCTGAGCTGAGTGCGTGTTTCGCTGCATGGTCTTATAGTTACCAACGCAAGACTGCATGGTGATGACAGCGCGGCGCGGGCGTAGTATGGAGAAGGCGCGCGGGTTTCACTGCCGTCCAGACCAGGGCACATTATCAATGGGGATTTCAGTCGAGTCTGTACGACCCCCCCTCCGGCCCTTTGTTCCTGTTCCTCCTCATCGAAGCGAGCCGTCGAGCGAAGGGGAGGGGGGGTGTAAATAGCACATGTGAAACAGGAAAAGTCGCGAGACAATACGACCCCCTCCCCCCTTTACAACGTTCGTGAAGCGAGAGGAAATCAACTATCAAAATGCCTTTTTTTATGCCCAAATACGACCTCCACCCCTCTATTGGGGATTCCCAATAACGATGTGCCCTGACCCAGACCCGTTCTTGTGCTTTTTCGAGCGCAGGACGCGGTACCGTTTATCTTGGTTAGTGGTAACGCATCTCAATACTTCAGTAATCGAACCCGCTACAACAAACTATTTCAGGTTTCTGTTATACAAAGCGCTCTGGAGTTCCGCGATGAACAACTTAAACTTTACAAAAGTGGTACAAAATCGTTGGGAGAAGTGATCACGCTCAACTTCACAAAGGTTGAGGGTGGTACTGCTATAAACGTCCTACCGACGGCGCTCACCGCATGTAGGTTATCTGTTATGTATACACTTCAATGAGCCTTCAAATTGCAGTATTAAGCAGATAAGCGCAGCTCAACAGTCGCCTTTTCGAGCATGAGGTTTGTGTGATAATCTTCAACGTGCGAAATACACATACAGTAACCATGCGATGTTTCTTGAAAACCGAAAAATGCTATGTTGACCTGTCACGCTGCTCTGGCTGGCATAGAAGCAAAGCTGACCGGGCGACTTTCCTCATCGCAGCATTACATGCACAAGCATTCGACAACATTAAAGGAGAGAGCTCCACGCGCAGAAGCAGAAATAGTTGCTGCCGTCGCAGTCGGAAAGGAAAGGTGTCAGTGGGGATCGACAACATTAAAGGAGAGAGCTCCACGCGCAGAAGCAGAAATAGTTGCTGCCGTCGCAGTCGGAAAGGAAAGGTGTCAGTGGGGATCCTCAGAGCCCTCCCTCCCCCCTCCGGCTGCTTTCTCTACCAATAGTGATCGGTTAGTGATAGATTGAGGGCGAAAAGTATCAGTGGTGAGAACGCCGGGTATAGGGGGAAACGGACAATAAAATCTTTGCCGCACATCGCAGGGGATGAGCACGAGAATTCTTTGATGTGGTCGTCACGCGACGAGGGCATGCGAAAATTAAAATATGCGTCATTTTATCGATCGCAGCAGTGGAACTCGTGGGAATAGCTGCAAATTTTTTGTACTTTCTCCATTTTCCGCTCATTTTTCACATGTTTTTGACCATGGTTATTGTGGTCATGGCTGATGATATGGAGCATCAAAACGTTAGTATATTGCTGGTGGTTACACCCTTTCCCGTCCGCTTAACATGCAAAATCTGATAACTCGTCTCTCGCAGCGCGGCGAATACAATTCTCTTATCACGTAGGCTGGAAGAGCTCCATTTTCATGCCACCTCTCTTGGAACCGCAAGGTTGACTGCAACGTTATGAACTGTAGGGCATAATAACTCGACCTGGGCCAGGGAACGGTCAGCGTCTTTGGAATGAAAAACAGGTGATCAGGCTCGACGATCGAGGAAGACCTGCAAAATGCGGTTTCATTGCACAGGCACAGTGTCAAGAGATCGGCAGGTTTCTTCTTATTGCGAGAGCTCCTCCATCGGGGTGAAATTTCAAATGGCTACCAATTCGCTGCTAGAAACCACTCCTGGGCGGCAGGTCTACCAGTTCGCTGCTAGAAACCTCTACCATCTACTAGTCTCTACAACCTACAGGTCTCGCAACCTACAGGGTCTCGGTTGGAAATTGACAGGGAAACCCAGTTATTATAGCCAGTAGAATAAGAACTTTGAATCCATTACCCCGTTTGGAGAAATGATTGCTTTTATTGTAGACTTCGATATTCGTCTTCCTCCAAACGCCGACTTTGAGAAAATGGAGTCCCAAATCGTGGAATGGTGCCGGAAAGCTGGTTGCGGAGTTAAACATGAGTACCTCCTTGTGGGTCTACTTTTCTTCACGAACAGTTGAAAGAGTACTCATGGTCAGTTCTGGATACGTTTAAGCTTGTTTACCCTATAGTGTCTCACGTGGGTGTTCTTTATATGATCCACTAACCGTCATCAAAATGTTTCCTCAATTTGTGCTATGCGTGCTAAACTTTTACATAGTGTGCCTCCCAAGTGGAGGGCTCGCCAAGTGTCAGGAATCCCTAGTCGAACACTGCCCGTTAATGTGCGGTAGAGACATAGATGACTGTTCCGTAAAAACTGCACAACATGAGTCATATTTCCTCCCAAGACACAATCAGACTACACCAAACTGACCCGAGAAGCTCCACAACACAATCGGCCATCGTGATGTGCAATTCGAAAACACATTCCGATAATTTTCGTTTGGTAGGATGTTCGCTCGCTTGTGCACGACCTGAAGCTTCTGTGGTGATGCTTTGAGAACACAATGCTCCATTCGCCTTCCTACCGTGAATATCAGTTTGAACAATGGAAGAAGCTCGAAGCGTACAAGCGTACTCTGCTTCTCTGGTCTCAGCCCGCGCACCCGTCAGTCGTCGTTCTGTCGTCCTACTGAGCGGTTGCTCCCTTCCGTCGTCTCATACATGGCCTCCTGGACCAGAGCGCTACCGCGTCTTGTGCCCTTTGCTAAATATGCCCTGTCCTCTTTTTCTCTGGTGTTGTAATTACAGTTATTGGCGTACCAGTCGGATCGCCCGGCTGACGCCGAGCTCTCCTCCTTCTTTTTAGCCCGGCTTTCGCCAGGCGCACATCATAACGGGATGGAATTAGTTAATTGCCTGAGCTGCTCATATTGCGCGGTAGTGGTCGAATCATAATAGACAGAGCAACCTAGCGGATTCTGCACTCCTCAGTCCACCCTGATATTTGCGGAAGGCGTGCTGGTTTCGGCCATAACGCCCATTCTATACGTAGATCGTAGAAATAGATAGGAAGTACAGTCGGCCATGAGCGCAATATCAATATGAGTTGCACAGTAGATGAACAAATTCCGTTTCTATTACCTGCATAACGAGCGAATCTTGCCATTAGCATGCAATCCACCTGCTAAGGTTGCATGAATGTCTGCAGATGCCAATATTTGGGCTGCGTTCGTTGAATATCTTACAGACTACTTCATTATTCGTTCTCATCAGTGATTAAAAGTTGAAAAGCAAAAAATAGTCAAATAGTCACTGAACGCATAAAGTGTGTTCCAATATTCAGGTTTTTGATTTTTCCAAACTTCCTGTTTCAGGCAAAGTACATACCCCCTCCCCCGCTCCTCGACTTCAACACATTATACATAGTAGGATAGTGGGATGAGTTCATTTTCTAGTGCTATCAGAGAAGTGATGGCTGGAGGAAAATTTCGCTTACTGAGAGGCTTTTTTGGCAGTGTAGTGGTCAGAGATGTCGTGAGAATGTCCCCTTATCTTTACTTATCAATTGATAAAATTGCTTGTCATCAATGTCGCTATCACTAAAACTCCATAATTTCGTGGTGTAGAGGCTCCAGCATTTGATTGAACAACAACTGCAACGTTCTCTATCAGGCCCTATCAGCTGTTATCATTTCCTGTCACCCGCCGTCGCCGTCTCCACCTTCCCCTTGATATCATTTGCTGAAATCAACGCCTAACTGATGCTGTGTCCCGCGTTATGAGTATGTTGTCCTTTCCACTCTAACTCCCTTATCAGTATCAGCTAGCAGTTCTTGTCACCCACATATTCCTGTGCCATAACCTATATCATACCTTGGAACAAACGCCCCAGTGTTCCAGTCGGACCGCCCCTCTGCTTCCTTCCCTTGCGCATGCTCAGATCGGGCTGAGCACGCGCAGGGGGAGGAAGCAGAGGGGCTCCACCCCACCCTGCCCCGCACGAGCACACGTCCAGCTGCCACGCCAGCAGCTCGTGCAATGGCTCGGAGTGTACCGAATGGTTGTCTTATATAGCGGAGGCCGATATCACAATCAAAACATTGGATTGATACTTCCGCACCGATTTGCCTGTTTGCCTAGCGGTCGTTTTCGCCTCCAGCGAACTCGAACCCGTGAAGCATTTTGCGGACGGACAGACATACATACATACATACATACAAACTACAAAGCTAGATACAAAGTTACTGGTTCATAGAATAAAAAGGATTGTGTATTGTATCATTTTTGCATGTCTTAATAACAGTGCAGCTCATATGGACGTTCAGTCAATTGTCTGTCCTGTCATGTAGCAACAGGTACGCAAATTAATCGGACACCCTTTATTAGTTTCCTCCTCTGTCATACAATCGTTGCTTAGGTATATCCGGCACCGGGGATAGACCCAACGTGCCTGGCAGGTCGGCAACTTTTGCCCTTGAGCACTCTCATTAACGCGACTCCTGCCCATAGGGTGAGGCGCTCTTCATACCCACGTTCTGCGTGGTCGGATAGAAGAAGCACCGATGCATCTCCCCATCATTCCACTCGATAAGACGAACTAGCGGTAACCACATATGTCACCGTTGACGTGGATTATGAACGACATTACTGTAGATATTGTACATCTACCTCCGATAATTTACTTTTTCGTGTAGGTTGGTTTCGAATAGGTGCAGTAACAGTGCGTTCTACCTCCTCCGCGGCAAACGGGGCCGTCCATACTATCTCCGCAGAGCAGCAATTGCATTGATACTAACCATGATCGCAATCGAAACAAAGAATAACGAGCATCGAGAAGGCTCAGTCTAGTAGCCCGCTTGGCTATGGTTCAGCGTTTGGCTGGCTGTGCGGCAGCGCTGGCGAAGTATGGAGACGGTGTCCGAGTGTCACTACCCTCTAACTCCGCTTCCGTGCACTTGTCCAGAGAGAGTGACACGCCATGCGTCTGTGGCTATTTCTCCACGAATGGCGAGGAGTATTATTCACAGGGTGTATAGTTTGTCACCAAGTTCGACCATTCATTGTACTCTGGCACTTGCGCATACCAACGAGCTAGACGATGTGGTAGATATCTAATGGCGAAAATTAGAAAGGTGAAAGCGGCGTGGTAGTGAGGAGGAAAAAGTCTCCGAGTTTACTATTTAGAGCTGAAATGTAGATTCCTCGCAGCTGACTAACGTGTGGCAGCGAAATTTCCGCTCAAACAGTTGGGGCGATCTTTTTTTGCCGCCATTCGGAACTCCAGAAAACGTAACAGACCCAGAGCTGGTGACGGTATAGTTGGTGGGGATAACAACTAGGTCAAAACGTCAAACCATATGTACATATAGACACAGGCTATAATGTCTCCGTCAGTTCATGAAAATCCTCACACCCATCAAAGCAAGTAGACTTTTTTATCTCAACGTTGTGATTCGTAAAATTTTTGAAAATCTTGTACACTCTAGTTCGTTGCAGATGGTTGGGCGTGTCAGGCAGTATGAGTGTGTCACCCCGTCAAAGCCGTTCTCTGCCTTCTTGTTGAAGCGCGCATGCGACAAAAAGTGGTAGAAAACGAGTAATACGAACGATATGATACAGTCATATCATTTGCTCGCTTTAACAACTGGTGGAGAACGGGTTTGGCACCGCGCCAAACTCATCCCGCCTGGCACGCCCAACCGTCCGCAGCGAACTACGCTATACGCTTAGTTTCAATGAAACTGCAGAGCCAAAAGTGAAAGCTGTTAATTTGCATTGAGATAAGAAAGGTTACAAAATACTCCTTATGGGTGCGATAAAACTTTGTCCAAAGCGACTAGGCTATTAAGATATTCAGCTATGTATTCTGCACTTCTCAGAAATGGGAAGAGCGTGGCTGCGTGCCTCATTCGCATGGCGTGCTATAAGCTTTTCTTCGTTCATGTTGTACGCTGGAAGATCTTCAGCGGGAGGCGGGGGAGATGGTAATTTCCAGAAGTTTTCCAGCGGTAGGACGTGCACTGATAGTAGGACAGAACCCAAAAATGGATCCTGTTATTCACATAATACCCCAAACGAAAGCTTCATCTTCAACCAATGCCTTTCGCGTTTGACTTAAATGCTGTCTTACAGCGTTCAACCAATAGGACGGTGACCAGCACCAGCATGGACGATCCATACTGGAAGGCTTTCCACAGCGCTCTTGCAGAAGAGTAAGTTTCAAGTGTGCTCACAGTAGATTCAGGAATTATAACTAACTCAGCTATGTGTAATCGTGTTCGTTCTTCATAACATCGACCTGCAGGCACTGTCCGTACCAAAAAGAGATCTTCACAGGAGGAACAGACTCACGCTTTGTAAGAAAGGTCAGGACTTTGACTTCACCAAATGCTGAATGGGCCCAGCACCATCCAGTGGTCCACCACATGTGGTGGCCTACCAGCTTCCCCCAACTGCTGTAGAAAGGGCTGAAGCCGCGCTGCACCCAGCCCTTCTGTGGCCCGCGCGTCTGAGCCAACGAGATTGGATGTGCTCTATATCCATAGAGTAGGATGCGTTCTTCGTTGTTCACTTGGGACAACTATCATCCCGCCTCGTGATAGACAAAGGCATGATTATTGTTGTCACAAACAGTCATTTCTTACCACATCTGAGATACTCGTCCAGTCCTAGTGGGGGTCTCATTTGGGGTGTCGACGGTTTTAATTACTATTCTCTTCATCAGTAAATCCACTGGCAAGGGCAACAAATCTGTACTACAAAATTCGAAAATCGTCTCCTTGAGAAGCGTTCTTACTTTCCCTTACAATTCCAATGGGCGATGCATGCCTTAAGGATTTTTCATCACTAACTATTGTACTCTTTGATGTTTCCTATGGATTTGCATGATAATGGAACTCTTACTGGAATGTTAGACTAGAATCAGATCAGGTTCACAACAGAGAAACACGGACAAGTTCAGGTTTTTGTTTTGTTGAAACGATTGAATAGACGATGGTTTTTCAGTTAGGTTATCGTGCGATCGGTTTTTCACCAATGAATAACACAAAAGTGCTGCTTCATGATCACAATGAGTGCATTCACGAGAAGGTGTTCCTGAGAGGCGTCGAAATCTATGCAAGGATCATAGACAAGCTGGGAAATGTACCATGACAAAAAAATCGAAAGAACATCAGGAAAGCAATAGACTCTGAAATTCACAACTATTGAAACGAATAAAGTTTATCTTATGGTGTACTAAATGAATGTGTTTGTTTGGAAGAGTGTCGAATTTTCCCACATGGAGAAGGGAGTGTTCAGCTTCAGCACACCCGAGGCGTGGAAAAGGCTCCAAAGGGGTAAGCAGATCATTCGCAGCAAGAGCCATTTTACCCAGTTCGACTAGCAGGAGGAGGAGGGTCCTTCTAGTTTTGCGCGATGCAATGCTTCGGATGTCATAAAATACAGCCGGGAGAGTAGTGTGATTCGGAGCATTGAGGCGCATGATCGCGCGTAAACTGCCACAAAGTTTCCTTGCTAGCCGACCCGCCATGCCGCAGCATCGCTACGTTGATTGGGTCCTGAGGTGAAAATGCTCTGCACGCAACCTTGCTCATAACTTCTCCTTCGCCACAATTCCGGGAATGATTGTCTTACAAAGAGGCCAAGACTCGCGCATAGCAGAGACCATAGCCGATAATTAAGCGAGATGTGGTTGTTATTATGTTGGACCTTGGTGCGAATGCTGTGAACACAACAATATTTGCAATGCCTCCTTCCTCCCCTCCTTCAAATGGCCTCTGCTTCTTACGATAGGATGCATTTCCTTTGTGAGTTCCCATGGAATTTAGAACAATATTTGTAATGCCTAAAAGTGCTGCGGGAGACGAGTTCTGGGCGGACAAATTTTGCTGTAACTGAATGAGACGTGGACTCAGCTACGGCGAGCGGCGCCGTGGCCTGATGATGAATGTCTCGCTCTGTACTAATATTAAATGAAAAATACATGCATATTCTTCGATTGTGACTGGCGAATTGCCAAAGAAAATTAAGTTTTGCTTTCCACATTCAGTTGTACTGGAAATGGCTTCATTTTCACTAATCCCAATCGGATCGACAGAAACATCAGGTTCCATGCCTTCAACTGTGTCAACTTCAGTTTA